CTGAGTGGGGGTGGAAAACTTAAATCTTGAATTCAACTAAATACTGTAGATGTGTGGATCTTCAATCATTACCCTACTGGCAGGCTGTTCTAGTTCCTCAACTAGGTAGAAATCTTCTCATTTCCAGTCCAACCTTATTCATGGCCAGATTATGTCCATTTGTTCTTGTGGCGGCTTTGTCATTTGGCTTAAACCATTCTTATCCCTCTCTTGTGCCTGCTTTATGTACCTGTATTGAGGTGTAACCATCTTCCTCTTGGCCCTGGTCTGTTACGATAGCTTCTCTGTTCCCCTGAGCATCATCCTGACTGAGGTTCTCTATTTGTTTCAGTTTAACCTTCCTTCAACATCGGTGACCAGAATTTTACTGTGTTCTAGATGAGGTCTTACTAGCACCTGGCTACAATAGCATTCATGCTTTGTTCCTCTTTTGGGAATTCCTTGTATGATGGATCATAGTATCACCTTTCCTTTTTCAGCTAGATCACACTGATAGCTCAGAGTCATCCTGTGATGAACTAATACAGTGGTGCTCAACCCCTGGCCTGTGGAGCGGTCTCATGACCACATCTGGTAGCAGGGGAGTAGTAACAGCATTAATTACTCCCAATGCACCAGCAATTAATACTGCTACTGGTCTCCTGCCACCAAATTTTCAAACCCATGTGGAGCCCCACAGTTCAGATGACATGACCCCACAAGCCAAATTGTGCTGGCATGTGGTCACTGCAGCCAGATCCAGCATGTGGAGTTGAGCCAGCTCACACCTGCAGTCCAACTAGTGCGTAAGATCTGTCCCGGAGGGATTGAGCCCCCACAGATTAACACAGTCAAGGCCCTTATTCTCCCTTTCTCTTTGCTTCCAGTTGCTGAGTCCCCAGTTAACAATGAGAATTTTTACTATTGTTATTTCCAAATACAGGGCTTTGAATCTTTTGTGCTGTTGAATTTCATCTCCTTTCTACTACTCCAGTTCTCAAGGATGTCCAATAATTTTCCCCATTTTATTCTTATCCTCTGCCATTTGGATAAGGCCTTCCAGCTTTGTCTTCAGCAGCATACCTAGTTTGTGCAAATGTCATTAAAGGACACAAGGAAAATTAACATTATTGGCCATCAGCTTTTTTTGGCTGGTATAGCTGGTAATGTACTGATAAGTATAAATGTTGCTTCTGCCCAGGGCCCCAGATGCTGCGTGCATGTGTGCAGCTGCAGCATGCCATGTGGCCAGGAGTGCAGCTGGATGGTAGGGAGAACAGTGCCCTGCAGGTGAGTGTGGAGGGAGAGGGGCAATGGGGGTTGCAGATCGAGGCCCCCAGTGGTAAGGGAGGGAGTGGGACAGGGGCTGGGGATGCTGCCCATCCAAGACGGTAAATGAGACCCAGGGCTGGGGTGGGGAGCAGGACAGAGCCATGGGTTGCTTGTCCAGGGGGTGGCTCTCCATCACTGCACGCATCCCTTGGGTGGATGTGAGCTGCGCGCTGCAGGCTCGGGGCTCTTTGCCCTGCTGCCTTTGCCCCAGAAGCTGCACGCTGGCCATGTGTCCCATCCACCTGGCAGTGGTGGTGGATTGTGCCTCTTGCCACCGGGTGAACAGGGAACATGCAGCCAGCGTGCGGCTCCCAGGGCAAAGGCAGCAGGGCAAAGAGCCCTGAGCCTGCAGCGAGCAGCTCACATCCACCCAAGGGATGCATGCAGTGACAGAGAGCCGCCCACTCTACCCCCCCCACCACATGCCCCGGACAAGCAGCCCATGGCAGAGAGCCCCAAGCTCGTAGCAAGGAGCCTGTACCTGCCCTTGCCCCACGCTGCTCCAGTGAAGTGTCCACATGCTTAAAAATGGTTGCGGTGGAATTTGAAATAAAGCTGATTTGACAACCTTTACCTTCAAGTACTCCCAATGCCATTTGAAGCACCAGGCCACCGATCCCCTGGATGAGCTGCCTGTGGCTCCATCCTGTTCCCCACCCCAGCCCCAGGGTCCCATTCACCACCCTGGCTGGGGAGTGCCCTCAGCCCCTGCCCCTCTCCCTGACTCTAGGGGCCTTGATCTGCCCCTGCACACCCCTTCCCCTCCGCAGGTTTACCTGCAGGGCACTGTTCTCCACACAGCCTGGCTGCATTTCTGTAAATCAGTTATTGGATCAAAATTAACAGATATGCTTGGTGACTAATTGGCTATTGGTATTGGACAAGAAAATCTTTATTAGTACACCTCCAGTAGAACTTTATCTTTTTATTTCTGAAGACTAAAATAATCCTGCACACTACTAAGATCAGACTAATTTGTATGAAGTTGCCTGGAAAACTTTCTTCCCATTTTTTATTTTTTTTAAATATATAAGTATAGTGTCTTGTTTGTTTGGGTTTTTTTGCTTCAGTCAAATGGTATTCCTACTAATTGACTGAATAAAGTGCTTTGGACTTGTAATTTCATGTGCTGATTCTTTTTAATATTCTGGGATAAAGATTACTTTGCACACCAGACTTGAGCACATTTAAGCCCCTTATTTCTACATCGGATCTGGTAGCTTTCATGTGAATATGCTCCTTCCTGTTAGTTATCTTGTTTTTCTCCCATGTTTAACATCCCTATTTAAAAAAAGAAAAGAAAAACCTAAGGCAAAGCCTTCATTTGGCTTTTTTGGACCATACCTCAATTCTTTACTCCATCCTCACTGTATAGTGGTCCTATTTTCTTTATGTCTTAGACTTCTTGCTGATCAGTTACTTTCATTCCTTGTAAACTGCCTGCTTATTCCCACTACCCTTTTCTAAGTGCTGGGCCTACATTCTTTATAACATTCCTCTTGTTTGGGAAGTAAATTTTAGTTAACTTTTTTTTGTACTTCTGGCACAATGAAGTGTCAAGACCCCAAAACATACAGGTCCTTGAGCTCTTTAGTCTGACTTCCCTGTCTAGCTGCTTTTAATGTATTTACCATTTTAAAAATGAAAAATACTAGTTTATCCACCTTTTAGTTCATCCTTTTTAAAGTGAATAAATTCCATAGCTGTATGGACCAACATCAGTTACAGCTGAAGTCACCCGGAAGTTCAGCATGTTTTTGATCCATAATTGGGCTTTTCCCTAAACCACAGGAAGCTGTTGGACAATAAGTATAGCTGAAAAGAATGAATACACCTTTTTTTTTTCCTCTCTGAAGGCTTGAATTGTTTTAGGTTTTTATGTGCAAAATGATGCCATCATTGCATACCTGACTTCAGTTTCCTAAATTCCTTTATTTTTATGAGTCTGATTGAAAAAATTACATCATTCCATGATGGAAACAACTTATGCCTTTAATCTGCTACCTATTATGTTGTGATCTATTGTACTAGTCTTCCACAGATATTTGTTAGATTGCTTCATGTTGCTGTAGGAGTAAATTTAGTTGGGCTTCTGGCCTACTTGACTAGAAAAACAGACAGAGACCAGAAGTGCTGATACTGCTTATTTCAGTTACATGTTTTGAGATAAGACGTGCAGGATTTCTTATTACCCTGTGCACAGATGTCCAATTAAGTAAACTTGTTTTAGTTTCTCCAAGGTCGTATTTTTTTTCCCCTCTTTATCTGTCTTAAGTATAAAAATGCTTAAAAACTTAGAGAGGAGGAGGATTCCTTTGAAACAGACAAGTGGGTGATTCCCCTTGCTGTATGAAATCCTCCCTGTGATCACAGTATAGCCCTAAATAAAGAAAAGCTGGCTCTGTCAGTTCTGATTCAACCACAACGTGAAGTTTGATTTCGTCCACATTGCTATTTCACCTCAGTGGAAGTACAATGAATGCCATCATTTTAATTTTCTAAGCCCTATGAAAACAGAGGACAGCACTGTGCCTGGTGAGTCAAAGATGTCCAAGGCCCCAGAAATTAACTAAGAAAGAATCTGCATCTAGTAGATGAGGAATATTCAAACCCTGATCCTAGACCACTATTTCTTATCACTGTAACCTGCAGCCATATCACCTTTTCAAAGCAAACCTGCCAAAGAGTATAATGCCAGTTGCGGGTAAAATGCGGCCCATAGGCTGGATTGGGTCTGCAGCAGAGTTTGCTTCCTAGCAGCCCCTGCCTGCATTGCTGTGGCCAGTTTCCACTGAGACCTCAGCAGCAGGGGGGGCCATGACAGCATGGGACCAGGGCTTCCAAGGAGACCAGTCCCAGCAGTGCTGACGGTGCTCAGCTGGGTGGGGGGGCTGCTCCAGGTCCGGGATCTTGCAGTGGTGAGTGTGGTCCATATCCAGGGCAGAGCCATGATCCACTGCCTGCATGCCCCTGCCTGGGGTGTGCAGGCAGATCTGTTGGCTCTGGCTTCAGACCATGCCATCACCACCGCTAGATCCTGGCCCCTTGCCCAGCTGTGCCCTGCCAGCACTGCTGGGGCTGGTCACCATGGAAGCCCTGGCCCCACTGCTGCTGGGGTCTCCATGGGAACTGGCCAAAGCAACATGGGCAGAGGCTGCTGACCCGATCTGCCCTTTTGCCCACCCCTCACATATACCAAGCTATGACTCTGCAAGGCCAAATCAAAACCATTAGCAGTGTGAAAAATCCACTCTGATCTCAGAACAAGAAGAGATCAAGGCCTTGATTTGACATAGGTTGGATTTTCAAAGCTAACTATGATTTTTTGGGTGTCAAATGTAGCCCCTTTAACAGGCTGATAGCATGTGATGGTCACCCCCTTCTAAAGTATCATGCTGGACAGTCAAACCACTAATAGCTTTGACATCTGGCACTTTTTATACATCTGTTTCCTTTCAAAATGTTGCTTTACAGGGTTTCAAGCTGCCTGCATTCTGTCTACTTGAATTCAATATACAACCTTTAAGTAGGATGTCTGCTATACTGTTCTACCACAGAAGTGGCCATATTTCTGTGATGAGATTATGTCTGTGTAACATTTCAGCATACTTTTGTGAAGTATATTGGGACAGAAAGTGTTTTAAACGTACTGCTGAAAGGAGCAAGAAGAAATGATCTATTCAGACAACTTAAGGGACATGATTTTTTTTTTAATTCTAAAAACAACAAGATTCCATCGACCAGAGTTAATGCGTTATGTAACAACTGACTTCTTTAGTGTCTAACTCTAGGTCAAAGTATTTGTAGAAATTATTGCCTGAAATATAGTTGTTTGTGTCTGTATATAGATCTACAGAACTTTTCTAATATGAAGTACTGCTTCTAAATCTACCCTGATCACTTGAATCCCATCCAAGTTTTCAAGATCTCATACCACACAGCATTAGAACTTCATAAAAGGCACTTCAAAAGGCTTTTCCGTTGCATGTTTCAGTGCCAAGGCATAGCTATAAAGTCTGGCATCCACTACAATGTGCTCTTCTGCGTTTAGCTCTGCAAAAAAGTAAGAATGTCAGAAATACACATAAAGCAAACAGTGAAAGATACAAGTTCAATCCATTCATAAGAAGTACAGAAGCCTCACGAATTTGCAAAAAGATGGTAAGTAAGAAGATACTTCAGCCTCATGGATGCAAAACAAACGGAAGGCAAGTCTATCAAGGAAGCTGTCATATTTCTACTATAATGATACCCTTTTTAAGTTATAGGCAGTTGGATCCTAAAATGCATGGTTATCTATAACTTTAGCAGCAACATATTAAAATTTACCCTTCATGCTTCAAACCAATATAAAAACTGGCTTGAATATTAAGTCCAAAAATACAGAACTAAGTAGCTGCTCTGCTATAGGAAGCTGCTCAGTTCAAAGTGACCCTCAATTAAAAGCTACTCCCACTGGATTGGAGCTAGACAGACTATAAAAAGAGGTAGTTAGTCATGTTAGTCTGAAGTTAGAAAGAAAGTATCCCATAGACTGAATCAGATATGTGAGAGCTTGCTTCGTTCAATGCTAGCAGTGAGCTCTTGTTCATGAAAGCTTAAATATTCCTGATTCAGTTAGATAATGTTATCCACTCCCTTACAGAAAATTTGACACCAAGTATAGAAGGCTAATAATGCACATTTACTCCAAATCCTTACAAAACCAAGCGAGCAGATGTTGGGTTTAGAAGACAGGAAGTCTGAAAGATCCCTGTGGTAACTGAAGTACAGCAAACGCAGATATCAGTTGACTTACACTATGTGAAAAGAGTAGCTAAGGAATGTTCAAGATGTTTTATTAATTTGCTTAAAGTGCCACAAAATAGGAGCGCTTACCCTCAATTCTTTGCAGTAGATCATTTTTTGGTAGTGAGACAACTTCCACAAATTCTAAGGAGGAAGAAAAACCATATTCAAATTAATCTTCCCCAAGAAACTATTAATATAGTAATAATCCAAGCACCTAGACTTGCCAGTGTGATTTAGAGACAGGCAAAAATCAGAGGAAAGTCAGAAATCAGTTTTGAGAGGAAATTGCAAGACAGCCACATAACCAAATAGGAGAATGGTGGCAAATGTAAGAGCTGATAGCAGAGTAGGGCAAAGACTATTTTTCCCCTGCAACATGGTCAAATACTCCACTGCTAAAAGGACTGATAGGCCTCGGTCTGGATGGCTGGTATAGTAATGGATCCTGATGTGCCTTTGACTCCAAGGACAGAGAAGGTATAATGCAACCCATAAGAGAAATGAGAGTTTATTCCTTGTTGCTTTCAAGCAGCTTTGGTCAGCATGTTTAAGGAAGGCCTGTTTATTTCTTATAACTGTTTGTGGGTTAACCCCCCCCCCAAATTTCAGGCTAGGGGCCAGATCTACAGATGTTAGTGGAGCTACAGCGATTCACACTAGCTGAGCTATTGGCTTTTGAGGTATCATGGACACTATGACATCATTTGAATTCTTCCTCTCCTTCTCTCATATATATATTTATGCTTCAAACCAATATAAAAACTGGCTTGAATATTAGGTTAATAATATATAGGTTTAAGGATATAGATATGCCCTTAAACCTAGGACAACAGCTGTTTCAAAACATCAAGCCTATTCCAAAGCCCACTGAAGTCAAATGAGCTCATACAGTGTCACTGTGTAGATGGTGATGCCCAGAAACTGCTATTAACCACAGAGACAAGAGTTTACAAATAATGCTCACATTGCAAATATAATGAAATGTCAGAAGCATACTTAGCTGCGCTCCGAGCTGCTGCAAAGTTAAATGAGCAACATACCTCCCTCCTCTGCAAGTAAAAGAAGAAAACAGTATTAACACAGTAACTCAGTGAAAAAGGAGCTGGAAGTCCAGTCTCCTCTTTTTCAAGGGATTGCCCTAACTACTGGTTGTAACAGGGCCCTGCCCTGTTACTAGGGGGTTGGGGGAGTCTGAACAACCCCACACCCCAGAGACACCTTGGCGCACCCATCCCAGACCTGGGAGAACTCAGTGGAGGCTGGGGAGCCAAGTCCAGGGACACAGTGAGCCCCGCAGCAAGGCAGCTGACAGGTGTGGGAAGTGAGAGAGGATTATCCATGTGAGCCCAGGGTGGGAAGGATAAAAGACACTCCAAGCAGCCTCAAGGGAGCAGGCTGCCTGGAGCTGCCAGGGGTTAAGCAGCCACCTGGAGAGCCTGGAGCCGGGCTCTTCTCTGTTTGCTTGCTTACTTGCTTTGTTGCACATGCCTGCGGGGCTCTGCAAAGCCTCTGAAAGATGAGAGGCAGCCAGGGGGTGAAGCCTGGAAGAACCACTGAATGACAGCTAAGTGCTAACTTATTTGTTTAACTTCCTTTGCTTGTTTTACATTGCTAACAAGCCTGGGGTGTCCTCCAGGTATTATCCACTAATAATGGCTGCAGCAGAGGCAAGGGCCCTGAACAGTGGGTTGTTGGTCATAGCCAGCAGCAAAAGTAAAAGTGATCAGTTCAACTAGCTTGACCAAACATACCCTGCAATGACCTCCCCAGACTCTGCCCATAGCAGCCTACACTAGTCTACAGAGCTAACTTGTGCTTTCTTCCTGGTTCAGTGAATATTTGAGTTTTCCATGCAAAGTGAAGCTTTAGCAGGAGGGCTTATAAGTGTCTCTCTCTTTCCCGTGCAATACTCTATCGTCTCGTGATTAGGATATGCTCTGGGGTGGCAAGAGATGAGAATTCAAATCCCCTCAGCCAGAGGAAGTCCCTTCCCGCCCTTCTTTCCTAAGATCTTACCCAAGAGAGAGGAAAGAACAAAACGAGCCTCCCAGATCTTAAGTGTCTGCTCCTATCCAGTCACTAAAGAAAAGCAGGGCAATACACCATGGTCTGAAGAAAAGGCTTCCATTCCTCGTTCCAGGAAAAGCTCTAGGGCTGTGAACTGTGATGAGCAGAAGGTGCTTCCCTGCATCCCAGGGGAAGACAACTAAATTGCAGAAAGGGATAACATTTCAGACATATCCCTCCCTGCAGTGTTTCCTATTGGCTGACTTAGGCAACGCAGCCTGTGCTGGCCTTCGTGAATCCTGTTGCGTGCAACTTTCTCTGTGAATGACACAGGGAGCCTAGACACTTCCTATCGATGCTGTGAAATGCACTAGGAGGTTGACCATGTAGAAATCAGACACTGCAACACTGAGCACAGTGATGCCCAAGTCCCCGCTGCAGATCTAGCCTTTAGTGCCTGATGCACCTTCCACTGGTCAGTGAGAGAGCTTCCACTAACTCTAACATGTCCTAGGGCAGCCTTTAAGGAGCTAATTCTGAAGTCACGTGGAGATTTAACAGATTTCAATGACATAGTTAATTAGAATCCTGTACTGTTAACTATTCAACACTTTCATAGCATATTTAGGGGATGTTGGCATCTAATGAGACAGCAGTGAAGTACTGTATATGGAGCAAGACTCACCAGGCTTTTGCTTGGGCCTTGTATTCTGAGGGTCATCTCCATTGATGGCCACATTCACAAGGTATGTCGTGCAGTTTGTCAAACCCGGGTCCAAACAAAGAACTAGAAAGCCAAATTACACATTCATTTTGATAAACGAGCCCAGACTCCTGGACATTTTTACAAAGATTTTCACCCTGCTCTGTGTGTTCTAATAAGAGAACTTGCTTATCAGGACATCACCTCATTCCATTTCATCAACCAGTATCACAAAGCCAAGAGCAAAGATTCCCATATATTGTTCCTACACACAATTCATCCCAGAATGGTGCATTCTCATTTACACAGACCCTTTTCAAATCAGGAGTCTGATTCACATGCTGAGTATTATCAGTATGTGAATTTGTTTTATTGCTTCTGCTTCCATGACAAATACTAGCTTGAGTCTCCCCCAAAGGCTCTCTGCAAAGAAATGCGGACAACGCAATCTGCCATCAGCTACACGCACACTTTTCAACTCTGTATAAATTTTGCACTATTCACTGAAAGCACAGGATGACCTTAACATGGGTGTAGGCTCAAAACCAGAATCCAAAATCCATCCCAAATTTTCCTGAGCAATTCACTCTTTTTTTCAATTGTGGATTCCAAGCTCGTCTGCCAAAGGAAGTATGGAAAGTCCAAAAACAGAGGCAGGCTATCAAGGATGGCTAGATGCATTTTATATTAACACCTCCTTCTTCCTTTTTGTTACAAATCATTTGTCAAAAACCTGGGTTCAGCTACCACTGCCCAGCTGGGGCAGGGGTGATCCCATAGTCAGAAGCTGCATTACACAGCTGTTCTTCATTCACTGGATGGTTTTGTGGGAAAAATTCAACTTCAGCCCAGATGCTTTGACCTTTTAATGAATATATGCCAAACTCCAGTCAGATTCCAAAACAAACCTATCAAACCGTGTGCGCCAAGTGCCATGTCAGAACCTGAGTAGATGGGTTTCATGCAAGGGTTCTCCTTAAAAGAGAAGTCCTTTCCTACATCCCAACGCATAGAGGTTTGAGCCAGTGGATCTGCAGTCACAGCCTTAAGGACTGCATCTAGAGCCCAAATTTCTCAGTGGTGCTGTAGGTATGCAGGCTGCCTCTCTTTGACCTTTCCACCCTGAACAGTGGGACCTCTGTAGGTCCATTGCAGCTACTGGGTTCCGTGCCCATGAAGAGGGCTAGGGTTACTTCTGAGTCAGTCAGTCAAAGCCTACAGACCTGGAGAACATTCAGTGACCTCCCCTTTGAATCCTGTTTCCTCCTCCAACTCCCGCAGGGCAGCACTTTCTGGACTTTCATTTTCATCAATAAGGCCTGTAAATAATTCATGAATAAAACGTAGGAATTAAAACTCTTCTTTCACACAATAGTGACCATCCTTAGAGCTAATTGAGCTTTACAGAGGAAAAGATAGTCATTTCTCTTTTTACAAATGAAGAAACTGAGCAACTAGGAGGGGAAAAAGATCACAGGCAGCCCCATATTAGATGCAGGACAAGAACACAGGACTCCCGACTTTCTGTGCTCTATAGACTGGAGTATTCAGCTACCCTACAAGGTAGGGAGATCCCTCAAGGCCAGAACATTGATACCAAGCTCAAAGGTGTCTGCTTTTTCAGAGGGCAAAAAGGGAAGGAAAAGGCAGCAACAAGGAGTTGGAAGGATTCTACAAAGCAAGTCACAGATGGTTCTCACTTTGCATTCTGGGATTTCCCAATATGCCTACTTTGCCATATAGGAGATTCTAACATAGGAAGCACCACCGGTCTCTAAGTTAAGGACCTAGCACATAAATAGTAGCAACCTTAAGCAAGTGGACAAGCTAAACTACATATCATAGTTTTGTGCATTTCATCCTAACAGTTCAGTTGCCTACCTGCAGGGAACTCCAAGCAATAGCCTCCCATTGGAGGCCTAAACTGTTTCACTAACACGATGCAGTCATAGTGGAGAGTTCTCTGCAATACAGCTATAACTGCAACACCTGCCGGCAGAAAGAAAACAGTGATGGAAAAAGAGCTTTTGAGTGGGTCAGGCCCTGAGGACTGCAGTGCCCAGACTCCCTCCCCCAGCTGAAGTCCAGAATCTGAAGATGGTACCGAGCTGCCTGGAGTCAGACACCTCAGTAGATTCCAGGGGTAAGGAGCTGCCTGGAGCTAGCCAGCACAAAACTGCTGAGGACAGTGGTGTGTGTTAAATTGTCTCACTCAGGACTAGAGGGAAGTTCCTCCCTTCACTTGGAATCTCCTGAATGTGGCACCTGCAGGGAATCCTAGAGAAGTAAGGGGGAGAGGAATCTCCAGAGGTCATCTACTCCCACCCCCTGCCTGAGGCAGGATCATCCTTATCCAAACTATACAAATCCATTACCTAACCTAATTGATCCTTCCTTCTTGACCCTAAACATGGCTATTGATCTGACCCTGAGCAGAGGGGCAAGACCCTCTAGCCAGGAATCTCTGGATTTAAGTCCCAATAGGGGCATTAGCACATCCCAGTCAAAATCCTATGCCTTGGCTGCATCTTTTCTTCGAACACCAAGCAAATTTCCCCATCTCTTTTAAAACAAGGGTCAGCAGAGGAGAAAATGGTGCTTTTACGCAACAGCCTAGAGGTTAGTACTCTTGTTCAGAATGTGGGAAGCCTGGATTTAATCCCCTTTTACCAGAGATTCAAACATATTCTTCACCTCTCAGGCATGTGCCTTATTCCCCCAGCTCTGGCTACAGGCTATACTGGGTGGCAACACTCTCTACCTCCTTCCAGTTGAGCTATGGAAGGATTCTGTTCTTTCCAGGGCACAGGTGGTAAAGCACTATGCCGCTTTGGTCAAGCACTCTGGTACATGACCTCCAGCACTCGTATATTTAAGATTGATAACCGGGGTTCCCAAAGCAGCCCATAGACCACTTGCAGTCTTCAAAGCATTGGTACGAAGCCTGTAAAGGGATACTGCAATGGTGTTAAACGGATATTTAATGGTCGGCAGAGCCAGCAGATCTACAAGGCTTTGGTTACTGGCACACACTTAGCAGTGTTTCAGCTCAGTGATTCTCCTTGTTGTCTATGGAAGGCACAGTATACATTATATTGGTGGAAAATAGAAGTACTACACTACAGATTTCTTTTGTTAAGCAGTCCCCAGTGTGATGTCCCACCCACTAATATACCATCCATGAACATAATTTTTGGCACCCCTGATTTATACTATTCATGCTGTGATTAATTTTTGAACAGGTGCTTACATAAATCTGCACCCTCTTACTGTGGGAGCTGCAGCTGCTTTATGGAAAAAACTTAGCTTTCCTTGTGTATGAAAGTTTTCTAAGTGTGGACACAAAGGTATCTGGTATCATACCATCAGCGGGCATGCCCTCTTTCCTGGTGGTACGCTTTACGCATTCCCAAGTTCTGTTAAATACAGAGAAAAAGAAGAGGGGATGTGTTAACTGTAAAAATATATGGAATATATACAGAATGTGCGCGCTCCCCATTCAGCTTCACTGCTGCCATTCAAAAGCAAAAATGCCAATGTACAGTGAAAACAGCACAAGAGTACACTTGCATTAAATGATCACTTTGAAGCAGGGATGGCCAACCTATGGCACACATCAGAAGTGGAATGAGCAACTTCTGTGTGTGGCACATGGCAGACTGCCACTGTGCTGCCTGTCTTCTCTGAAGATAGGACAGGAAGCAGAATCAGAGCAGCAGACTGGGCAGGGGAAGGGGATCAGAGTGGCACTGGTGGAAAAGAGTGCAGGTCTAATTTGTGACACGCCTGCCAAAAAAGGTTGGCTCCCACTACTTTAAAGCATCTGCAAGGTCTCCAGCACAACTGTTCTGCTTTTGATTAGGGAGGCACAGTCTTGCCAGGCAACAGATTTTTACCAATTCCTTCAGACAATCACCAACGGTTCTTCTGTACTGCTTTTTCAGACCTAGATCCCAAGACTTTTTTTTTTTTTAAACAAGGGAAGGGTGTCATTATGACCATTTAACAGATGGGGAAGCAGACACATGAGTGTAGTCAAGCAGCAGACCAGTGCATTTAAAATGGTGACACTAATGAAGTGCAATCAACATGTTAAAAGAGTGCCAATTGTACAGGTCAATTAATTCTTCTGGGGAAAAACAATCAATACAAGCATGCTTTCTTTCTGACTCATGCATTACAATGGTTATATGACAACCAGATCTGACCTTTTAGGTCAGTTGCTCATGTCAGTTAGCAGCTTGAATCCAAAAATGGCCAAGGCCTCTCGTAACTGAAAAGCAAGGGACAGGACAAATGTAAAAACATAAACCTTCCATAAAGGCCTCAGTTGCTGACATTTCTAAAGGCTACTTTTAACCAACAAAGCTTTGCTGGTGAAGAGGGAGACTCAAAGCAATCAGTAAGGTTGCCAATGTACTAGGAAGAGGGAAGATATGGTAGCACTGGCATTTCCAGTGAGCATAGCTGGACTAAAAATGGAGAGCTTTATATGACACAGAAAGAGAACAGGATAGGCCTAAGAATCCATGGGAGGCATAGAGAAGGCAAGGGCACCCCTCTGCCAAGCAGGAACATGCTAACAGTATGCAAGATCCTGCAGAGGATCAGGCACATTGCCATCAACAGAAAAGGAGCCTTTCATGAATGAGCAGGGAAGCCAAAAGGGACCTCTTATAAGTAATCTTTTTGCATCCTTAAACTTCGCAGCCTCAGTTTTGCAGGAGATTTTTGCAAATGGCTGCAACAGCAAGAGAAGCACAAGAATGGCGCTGAAAGCATTTAGAAGCCACACTTTACCTGATAGGCTACGATATACATCAAAAAGGTAGGAAAACAGGAGCAGGGGAAAGAAAGGCTGAGTGACCTTATCCAGCTCCCTACTCAAGGGAAGGCCATCCCTTAATAAACCATCCCAGCCAAGTATCTGTCTAACCCGCTCTTGAAAAAATCTAGGCACGGAGATCCCAGCCAGGACCACTCTACGTACTGTTCCAAAGCTTGACCCCTCTTGTAGTTCTAGCTTTTCATTGGCAACATCTAATTTGTAAAGAGTTCCATGATGGAAGAATATGGCCCAGGATGCTAAGAAATGGGTTTCTAAGTGCTTTAAAAGTGCCAACCAGCCTTTGGCTGGTTTATACAGAAAAGCTTGGAAGTGCAGGCATCTGAAAGTGTCAGAGAGTAATTTACCTGGTTTTACCCAAGCGGTCAACATATGTTGTCTCTTCAAGCTTTACCCAGTTTCTTTCTGTAATTACCTAAAATAAACAGTCATTGGTTAAACAAACTGCAATGATGACAGTATGGACATTTTTTGGAGGGTGGGATCTCTTTGTTCCTCTGAAGACATCAATTTCAACATCAGCACAAGTGGAAAGCTGGAAGATTAGCATTACTGTACCTAGCCGAAGAGTCCATTTTTTCAGACAGCTTGAAATAGGAACACAAGATAACTTGAGCTTCTCATCAGGAACCAGGTACAACTGACTGCAACAGATGATTCACAAGCAGTGAGGAGAGGACCTCGAAGAAGTAGGGAATTATGGTGAAGGAGGAAGAGGAAGGACCTCCAGAGGCCAAAAACAACTCAGGTGGGGTTTTCACACCAAGTTCTTCTAATACAGTCCAGGAAGCAGAAAGGAACATTCAGCCATAGAAGTCATAACTGTACATGGAAAAAAACTAGAGAAAGAGAAAGAAAGGAAACATGGCAAGGAAGGGCACAGACGCCAGCAGAAGATGAGGAGAGACATGCAACCACAGGGCAAAGAGAAACTTAGCTAACAGGGACCTACCAGTTCAGTAACCGAGTCACCTCACTTCATAGATCCTAGGTTCAACACCTTCTATGAAGTGAGGTGACTCGGTTACTGAACTGTTAGCTAACTTCAGCCCTAACCTGAATTCAAAGTCAGCTGTAAAAACGGACAAATCTGTTTACTTCTCAAAATAACAGAACAGCCATAGCTCTTCCATCCTTATGTTAAAAGGTGGTCAAGTGTATTTTAGGTTCATGAATTTTTGGAAGGCTGCTTTATGTTCTATGCTGCAGAAATAGGAGAATGAGCTAGATGCTTTCAAAGGGCTTTTACATGGGTTTGTGGTCACAGTAATGTAGCAGAAAGATAAATGTTTCTAGCACTTAGCAGCTTCTGAGGTATAGGAAACACAGACTTATGTCACATGCTGGCCACGAGCATCTACTGGCCAAGCCAGAGGCTTAGGCCTAGTTAGGATATTAGAAAGGGTCAACACCTGACATTTCTTAAAACTTGGACAATATCTGAAACAATCCATACCAGGCCTTGCAGGTCACCGTGGAACGCAACAACAATTGTAAAAAATGACCTGAAGCTGCCTACAAGAATTAAGTGGCCAAGAACTGGTAACTCTGTGCTTGCTGGATTTGATAACAAACAAGATAACCCAGAAATGTAACAAACAAACACATTCAATGAATAATGTAACAAAATGTATGATGCGAGAACAAGGTGGGTACTGGTATGCCTGAGGCATAATCAGTTGGTCAACATGTAATCAGAAAATGTACCTGTGCAATGGAACACACATTAGCTTGTAGTTAATGAGGATTGAGCAACTCTTTTTAAACATTGCAGAGGGTAAGAGGCCTGGAATATTGACCATGGCCAAACAAAGTTGCAGAAGGTAGCTTAGCTGGCAATCATTACCCCAGTAGCCACCTCAGTGATTGCTAAGCAGCACAAGGAAGAGTACCGTAAGTCAGGACGCATGGGTCTGCTCTTTGGAAGGCTGATACGGGCAGAAATGTTTCAGTCTAACCTGGATCAGATTCTAGAAAGGGCTGCCATCTGTGTGACAAATATAACAAAGCACAACACCGCATACATTTCACAAGGCATTCTTGTAACAACAGGGACCAAAAGCGGCAACTAAGAGACCAGTTAATAAGGTTATAGGTCACTCTACAGTCTTGTGAATGATTATAATAATGTAAGTGTTCCAGAATTTATCCCAAAGCCAGGTAATGTTCCTATACTTGCCACAGGGAGGGAGAACCACAACACCTCCATATTGCCTATGGACGAACAGCAGCCCTTAGGGTCACATATCTGGCTGGGCGTGTGATCCGACTGCACCAGCTGACAGAGGGCATGCCCGTGCCACTTCCAAGGCACTCCTGAGAGCACTGCTGAGAAGTGTGCCACATCAGCTGCTGCTTTTTGTACAAGTCAAACCCAGAAAATGAAGAATGAAGCTCCCTGCCAAAGCTGGTGAGCTCTCTATCTCTGGCCTGTTTGAAGGCAGCAGTGAGATGTGGCTCCACTGCCTCACATCCAGGTTTGGCACTGCTGACCTGGCATAAGTGGAGAGGGGTGCTCCTCGGCATTGAGCTTAACAGCTTCTGGGGGGTGGCAGATGTGCCCCAAGAGACAGTTTTATGCCGTGGAAGACAAATCCCTCATCTGGGCCCTGGTGAAGGTGCTTTGCAGTGTTCTGCCAGCTGAGTCCCATTTTAGAATCAGCTTTTAGTTCTCATTTCTCTGTCTAGTGCCAATAAAAATAGTTTTTGTTCTAGTAAATGTTACTGCAGCATCCTTTAAGCAGCTAGGGAGACAAGCGACAGCAGGAAACTGTACTCTACAGCTTGACAAAACTACAGACTGCTTCATTTAAGGCCAAGGGCCACCCTGAAACAATGCTTTCAGGTGTAAGATGTCTGTGAAAGCCACAGGGAGCACTAGATAAGTCTGGAACAGACTAGATCTGCTTGCAGTCCTCCAGCACTGCTTGAGGGGGAAAATGCCAAAAGGAGGAGGAGAGGAATTATCTAAAAAAAGTAAGCGGGACTAGTAGGAGCAGGACAAAAGGGAATTTTCAGAGGCTAGTGTCTACTTTTTGCTTTATTTAAAAAAACTCCAACAGAAAAATAAAATCCTGCTTTATACATTAACAGTTTTCCTCCCTGCTAGTTCACAAGGCTGCCTACCCTGGAAAACACTCTGGTGATGAGAAAGCTAATAAAATTATGACATCATGAGAATCAAGAATGAAAGCCTTGTAACAGAGAGGGAAATTATTTGAAACCATTTTAAAATGCTATTTTACTCTAAAGACCAGCGGTTACTTTAAAGAAAAGATTTCCCTATTAAAATACCCATGCCCCTGAAGCTCTTAAGTTAAGGTAAGAGAGCTCATAGTAGATGTTACAATACCCACAGAACCAGAACCATCATAGCCAGGGAAAATGAGACTTGACATCTGATTCTGCTAATATAGAAAAACCATAAAAAGCTTACAAAAAACCCCACACCATCTGAATGTCACCTCCTTAGACCACACTGCCTTCACACATCTAACATGCCACAGAATCTAATGTTTTCTCACTCTCAATGGACATATTTCCTAACATCTCTTACATAAATGCTATGTTATATAACAAATAAAATACCAATGTTCCAAAAGAAAACTTTTATACCTCATTTTTAAGGATGGTTTCTCTGGTGGCTTTTGGAAGATCTGTGCTTGCTTTGTTCTCCATTTTCAGGGATAACGGTCTTTCACCTGCACAAAGTCCACACAACAGAGTCAATATTTGCCTTCAAGGTAAAGTTAAAGGGTTTATGACTGTATTCCAACCTGAAAAATGAAGACTTTTTAGTACCACTTGATGTCAAAACCAATCACTGTCTTACATATATCATGGGTGTAGCTATGAGGCAAGTGATTCAATGTGTAACTGGAATTACAGGTTATATCATCAGCTGGTTTGAACTGTCACATTTCCACTGGCTGCAAAGGAGCTAGAACAATTATACCAGCGGAGGATCTACTGTGTGTGATTTATAGGCCAAGTGTCCCAGTCATGCCTCCCATTAGTGATGGCTTATGACTTTATGTTAGCTACCATGCCCCATTTCGACCTCAATGCAAGGCTATGGCAATATGTTGCCACAGCATGAGCTGGACTGGAGACCAAAATGTGGTGCCAGCAGGGTTAAGAAAATATCTGCAATCTCAAAAGGAGTGTGAATTAAAAACAGACAGTTTAGAAGAAGGTATCAGAACTAGAGAAAAAAAATCCCAAAATTCATTGCATTCAGTCATTCACACTCTCCCCTATTCAAAAGATGAGGTCAAAGAAAGGTCAGTCTGAGCCTCAGAAGTACATTGCGCTAGAATGGTTAGAGGATGCCAGTTTATGGAGCTAATGACACGCCTAGGAGTGATGAGATCAGCATCACATCCAATCACCTTTGACTGGCCAGCCTGAATAACTAGGTACTGATTTACAGCTGTGGCAACTGGGTAGCTCTCAAATCCAGAGCCAGGCTTGAAAGTAACATTTCTGGGTACATAGCATGTTATGTGCACCTCTCCTAGGAGACAAGGACCGTGTGCCCTTGTTGCAAAGAAGGCTAACAGCATACCAGGCTGTGTTAGTAGGGGTGTTGCCAGTAGATACAGGGAAGTGAATATTCCCCTCTATTCAACTGGTGAGGCCACATCTGGAGTACTGTGTCCAGTTTTGGGCCCCCCACTACAGAAAGGATGTAGACAAATTGGAGAGAGTCCAGTAGAGGGTAAGGAAAATGGTTAGGGGGCTGGGGACCATGACTTCTGAAGAAAGACTGATGGAACTGGTCTTAATTAGTTTGGAGAAGAGAAGACTGAAGGGGATTTGATACCAGCCTTCAACTATGTGAAGGGGGGTTCAAAAGATGATGGAGCTGGACTGTTTTCAGTGGCGGCAGATGACAGAACAAGGATCAATGGTCTCAAGTTGCAGCAAGGGAAGTTTAGGTTAGATATTAGGAAAAAACTCTCACTGGGAGGGTAGTAAAGCCCTGGAACAGGTTACCCAGAGATGGGGTGGACTCTCCATCCTCTGAGGTTTTAATACCTGGCTAGACAAAGCCTTGGCTGGGATGATCTAGTTGGGGATGGTCCTGCTTTGAGTAGGTGGCTGGACTAGATGATTGCTTGAGGTCCCTTCCAGCCCTAATTTTCTATGATTCATTTTCTAACACTTTGTCATGCTGCTTAGCTAAGCTCATCCTTTAAATTTTCTGTGGGTGATATCTTTTTTTGATCAACTGTATAGTCAAGATAGATTCAGGCTCTGAAATGTAGTGCATTCTTCTTCAGGGCTCAGTAAAAAAAAAAAAATCAAATGTCTCTGTATAGTCTGGCTGCTTTTTCCTTTAGCTTATGGCATTTCCATCATAAGCAGTGAATTTCAATATCCTCCTTATTTTGGTATTACTGGAGTGATGTTGTGGCTATTAGACAGAATAAAGAACTGCACTAGACTTTCACCAGTGACATTCCAGGTTCAAGGCAGTAAAATGCCTTTGGTGCTTTCAGTTAGCAAAACATGTGGTTCAGGGTGGAAGATGCTACTCAGAGGAAGGCCAGGTTTGCTATTAAGGTACAGGTTAGTAGTAGAATCCTCATTTAAAGCCAAATTGGAAAAAACACAAGAAAAAAAAAAAAAACACATTGGAGGGCAAGCAAGTCAAAGATACAGTCTGTGGACCAGATCCGACTCTTGGAGCCACGCCACCAAGCCCACGCAGCTCCTCGGGGTGGGGGGGGAATTTGGTGGTGGGATGAGCAGTGGCAGTGTTAATTGCCATGGCTGCTGGGGCCAGATTTCCAGCCCTGTGGGCCCTATCCAGAGAACAGAGCCACATTGTTTGCCCCTCAGGGATGCCCACGGGGCCTGAAATCCAGCAATGGAATGAGCTGCAACTGCTGCAGCTCCAGGAGCTGTGGCAATTAATGCTGTTGCCAAGCATCTTCAAGGTAAGATGATGCAGCTCCATGCTCCAGATCCAGCCTGTGGAGCAGCCCTGGGTGACTCATCCAGTCTGAAGCCAGATGTGTTTGACACCCAAGCTGAAGGAGAACTATTTAGCTCTGACAGTGAGATGAAACAAACTGGGGTGTCAAACATGACTTGGAGACTGGATTTGGCCCGTGTAGCCACTCCAACTAGCATTTTGGTCTATAAGTGGGCTACCAGAAGTTGGGGGCGTAGCTATAGAGGGGCATGGTCTGTTGCAGAATTTGTTGCCCCTGGGATCTATTTGTCAGTGGCAGGAGGGAAAGCAAAGACTGGGCAACAGCCCTGATTACGATGGCACCACTTGGCCATTCCACTGTTGAACCCCCACTGCCATCCCCAGATCCTCACCACTGCCCCCAGGTTCCCACCACTGCAACCACCACAGCCACAAGTTCCAACCTGCGAGGAGCCCTGTGGTATGGATCCAACTGGGGCTTGGAATGAGTTTGACACCCCTGGAACATATGATCTAAAATTTAGTTTTGCCGTCTTTAGGCTTCACGAGCTGAAGCTCTAAGCCAACTTCCAGTGCTATCTTTAGCAGCTTTTCCATTGACTTCAGTAGGAGTTAGATAAAGCCTGGTAGCAAGCAACAAGGAAGCCTGCACACCACCCTCCCCTGGACCTCCAACTTTAGCTGGTGTTTTTCATCTTTGACTTTCTTACCACGTTCCCTGTATATTTTTCAGTTCTCATCTTTATGCATATGCCTTAAAGCATCTCTCTCCCAGGACAATTCTACAAACATAAGGGATGTCATTTGTTTTGCCTAGGAAACAGTTTCCAACTGTAACAAAATTACTTATAAAAAGCCCATGCCTATGATCCATGCTCTGACCAGGCTCTCTCTCAGGTCCAAAGAGGGCTGTACAAATGTGATGACTAATGGATGAAGGCAGGACACCTTTCTTGACAATGTCTCAGACTTCAAAGATGCACAGAAACACAGGGCTGGAAGGAACTTGCTGGATCATTAATCCTTCTTCCCTGTTAATGCAGGTAACCCAATCCTACACTTCAACTTGAAGCTAATGTTTTTGACTGCAAATGGTTATGGAAGGCCCTTCCTCAGATTGACTCCTTCAGGGATTAGGAGTCTTCTCCAATTTTTTGTAGCAGCAGCAGCAGCAAGCTCTTCTCTATGTAATACTTAAGAGGGGTAGTGATGGAACAGTTCAAGCGTCTCACAATGGCCAGCAAACCAAGTCAATACAACCATAACTGGGTTCCTGGTATTTCCAGCTGGGAAGTCAAGGGCAATGGGATGTTATCCTGGCCACATCATTCTCCTGTGTGCCACTGGCTACAAAACCAGCAGTGCCTTAACCACACTTGCCCAATGTGCCACCTGGGATGGAATTTTGACCTTGACAACCTGGTATTTACAGGCAGCAGTTACATCTCCCTCTCAGCCGCTGTTTTTACAGGCTACACAAGCTGTGCACGAGCATCATAGAATCACAGAAGTAGGGTCGGAAGGGACCTTGTAGATCTTCAAGTCCGACCCCCTGCCTGGGCAGGAGAAAAACTGGGCTCAAATGACTCCAGCCAGGTAGGCATCAAGCCTCTTCTTAAGACCCCCAGGGTAGGAGCCAGCACCACTTCCCTTGGAAGTTGGTTCCAGATCCTAGCCGCCCTGACCATGAAGTAGTTCTTATGGATATCTAAACTAAACCTACTCTCCAACAACTTGTGGCCGTTATTCCTTGTTATGCCAGGGGGCGCTCGGGGAAACAAGGTCTCTCCCAAACCCTTTTGGTCCCCCTAGTGAGTTTATAGATGGTCACCAGGTCCCCCCTCAGCCATCTCTTGTGTCTGTCACACTAATCATTCTCTGTACCTCTGTCAGTTTGACAGTATCTTTTTGAACATGTAACCAAAACCATACACAATATTCCAGATGAGGTCCCACAACTCCCTTTACAACAGGGGTTTTCAACCAGGGGTACACATACCCCTGGGGGTACTTTGGAAGGCTCCAGGGGGTAAGTGGCAGTGGTGCTGGCACTGCTGGTTTCACTGCCATGTGCTGTATGGGGACCCCCTCCCTTGCTCGTTGGCCAGCCACCAGGGGACTCCCCCCCTCAAAGACACACACGCCCATGAGCCAGCTGCCAGAGAACTCCCTGCTTCTCGACCAGCCACCGGTGGTGCCACAACAAAAACAGGTTGAAAACCCCTGCTTTACAACATTAATCCACCTTTCTATCTGCTTGAAATATCTTGCCCAATTCATCTTATCGTCACAATTATCCTTTTTACAGTTGCATCACGTTGGTAGCCTGCAGTCATCCCATGACTGACTAACATGTTCCAGCCTTTCCCTCCGCTTGTTTCAAATAAATACACCCACAGTTTAGAGCAGAAATTCTTTGAGTGCATGAGCTTGTACTCTCGACTGTTAAATTTAATTCCATCTCAATTACTTCAGTCCTCAAGATCAACAAATTCTTCCTGGCATGATATACTGATCCTCCACTCTAGTGACACTGCCTTATAACTTTGTGTCATCATCATTAGCACACTCTTATTTTTACGAGACAGTTACTAGCAAAAATATTATATAAGACCAATCAGAAGGGTGATCCTTGAGGAACTCCATTGGTAACCTCCCTCCAGCCTAAAATATTGCACTTTCAAACCAACCACTGTCATCTGAAGGAGAGATACAAGGAAAACTTGCCACAAAGGTTAAATAAACCAAAAAGTTAGCTTGATTGGTTCATGAGCCTAAAAATAAAAAAAAAAAATGACTCTCTCCTGCTTCACAAATTCAGAAGGAGAAAGAGATCGATGCCATAGTGCCTCAGCTTCTGCATTTTTGATCTTTTCCACTAGTTGGTGCACAAGCTCCATGACTCACATTCAGAGAACATTTTAAGATAATTTCTGGTGGTAGAACTAAAATATCCCTTGGTTAACTGAAGGTTACAACTCATACACTCATATCAGTCACGTTTTGAGATTAACATTACAGGTCAGACCATAAACAAAATTCACTGCAGCTGAAAATAAGTAACTGTAACTGGTCTGTAACTGTAGCATAAAGACCACCACTGAACCTGTATCACAAATGTGAGGATGTACCTTATCCTGAAACCAGATGCTCTCTTCTATCACTTGATGTGGTATAACCCAGAACAACACTCAGTCCCGCATCATTTAAGCACAAAAAAGATGAAAGGGAAATCTCCTGAAATCAGCTCATTGGTGTCAAGATTGGTGGCATGTCATTAGAGTAATGCTTTAATAATAAGCTGTGCAATGTTAACATTAACCAACGCATACAAGTTTCTCTCAGGTTCTCAGCCTAAATCACCGATGCAAACATTCTTACATTTAATGTTATTAAAGGACACTATATGCATTTCATTCCAGCTACTCCTCTTACCCCTCCAGGGGCCAAATTCAGACTTGATGGAGTTTAGCCATCTACATCCACTGTTTAAATTTTCATGCAATTTCTCATGAAGACAAACTCTAATGATCCGAAAATTATTTCTCAATGCAACCTCTGCAATCTTGAGTCAACAAATCAACTTACAGGGTAGCCCTACTACAAGGGTATTATAATAATCTATCCAAGATGTGAGAAAAAGCATGGATTAGCTTCCCTAAATCAGTTTTTGAAAGGCATGATCTGATCCCAGCTATGTTTTCCAGTTGACATTAACCAGATTTAAGCAGCTGCTCAAGTACATCATTTTAAAAAAGAAACAGGATTAAACAACATAGCTAGGTTTCTCACTATGTGAGGGGCTCTTTCAAATCATGCTGTAAACGGACACTATCATGAACTTTATTCATGCGTGAAATGTAATGTATAATACTTCAACACGGGTATGTTAGACGAAACTATCCTCCAGATCTAACTCTCTCTCTGATCTGTTGACCTACAGCCACTGCAGCAATGCATTTGACTTTGCAGATAGGAACAGAGAGCAACACAAGTTAAACCTCTGTGCAAAGCTATAGACCTTATTGGTGAGGCAAAGAAACACCTAAACACAAAATCCTGAGCTAACGTACACTGCAGGAGATAGACCATGAAACGAATAACGGCAAGAATGAAAAGACGTCAAGGACTGCCAGATTATGAGGAAAAACCTATAGTTTCTGCCCTAGCAGCTACCCAACAAAGTATAAGCCGAGAAAGGCATAGACAGTTTCTGCTGCAATGATGAGTCAAAACAAAACTGATGTTGGTTGTTCTGGATAACCGGAGTGAGTTTTTTCCAGTATATTGTAGTTATCATCATCATTTTAGTGAGCCGACGTGCAAGAGGATTTAGACGAGTTTGCCTCAATGAGATGGCAGCAAATTTTAGGAAACGAGATGCCAACTGCACAGTAGTGTTGCGTGGCAGAAAGCACAACATGCGACACTGCTGCATAATAGTAACGAGGTACTGCGCAGTCAGTGCCACTGAAAAACCATTCAGCGACATGACCGCGTAGTCACTCTGCTTATCGTGCAGTCATTTAGTACATCCTCATACATGTAGGAGCCAGAGAATGGAGACTCGTTTATATAAGTACTAAATGACTGTGCAGTCAGCATGTTGGATAGACACGGCCACTCTGAAGGACACCAGCACACTCCCTTTATGTGCCTGCAGCACAGACGGCTCCAGGGAGCAACGTCACGAATAAAGGAAACCTAGTGAAAGAAATAATGGGAGTAATAGGAAAGGACAAGCAGGGGAATCAGTCATAAAACCATAAAAAATGAGGGCTGGAAAGGACCTCAGGGGGTCACATCTAGTCCAACCCCCTGCTCAAAGCAGGACCAGCCCCAACCAGATCATCCCAGCCAAAAGGTTTGTCTAGCCAGGTCTTAAAAACCTCCAAGGATGGAGACTCCACCACCGCTCCGGGTCACCTGTCCCAGTGCTTCACCACCCTCCTAGTGAGAAAATTCTTCCTAATACACAACCTAAACTTCCCTTGCTGCAACTTGAGCCCATTACTTCTTGATCTGTCATCTGCCCCCACTGAGAACAGTCCAGCTCCATCCTCTTTGCAACCCCCCTACAGGGAGCTGAAGGCTGCTATCAAACCCCCTCAGTCTCCTCTTCTCCAGACTCAATCAGCCCAGTTCCCTCAGCCTCTCCTCACCAGTCCTGTCCTCCAGCCCCACAACCATTTTGGTCACCCTCTCCCAGACTCTCTCCAATGTGTCCACATCCTTTCCGTAGTGGAGGGCCCAAAACTGGACGCAGGACTGGAGATATGGCCTCACCAGTAGAGGGGAAGAATCAGTGTCCTGAGCCTCTGCGTTGTTTCTTCCTCCTCAGCACTCTCCCGCCCTGGAGCTGAGCAAAACCGCGCCCCCCGCGGGGGGGAGGAGACGAGACGAGAACCAGAAAGGCTCCTAAGACCCACCCGCTCACCTTTGCCCTTTGCCCCGGCGGGGGGGGGGGTGTCCACCGAACGCAGCCTGTGATTGGCTGGCCGCAACATCGCGCACCCCGCCCCTCGTTCTCACCACCTCTGCCCTTTCCCCCCCACCCTTGTCCCGGGTTTCGCTTCCGGGTCACCCCGCGGCGCCGCCCACGATTGGCGGAGAGCGGCCGGCGGCCGAGCGGCGCGTTCCGGGGCGGGATGAAGAAGGAGCAGGTGCTGCATTGCCAGTTCTCGGCCTGGTACCCGCGCTTCCGCGCCTTCACCATCCGCAGGTGCGGCCGGAGCCATAGGCCAGGCTGGGGCTGCT